AGTAGTGGCAGTCAGCATGCATCACATTCGTTTACTGCACATTTCATAAATGCTTCGTTTGCTTCACAGTCTTCTGAAACAGCTAAAATGGTTGATCCAGTCTGCTGAAACAGCGAAAACGGTGGATCCTTGAGGGGGGGGGTAGCATATATATATATATATACATGTGTAAATATGCATATGTGTGTGTGTGTGTGCGTGTCTGTATGCATGTATGTTAATGTCAACGTCACCATGCACATTTTTACGTGGGGGCATACATGTATGTATTCATGTGCAAAGTAAAGTTACTAGAGCTGCACTGCACGTTCCAGGAGTGGAGCAAAATGGCCGTGGAACGCGCCAGGGCTCTTCGACCCAAGAGCTCTACCGTGTCAGAGATTCTCGGGGAGCTTTGTTATGCTCGCTGGATCTTCCTGCGCAGCAACCGTTTCAACCGTCTACCATTGGAGGCGCGGCACCTGATTCGCTCGTTCGTGCTGAGCCCGACAGCAGAGATGGCTGGCCGAAAGATTGTCGGTTTACATAACGGGCATGCCTTTGCCTTCCACTCGATGGCGAGCTTGCCGGCCGGAAAACTCATGTGCCAAGTGGGCAGGGACGTCTTTGTCGACAAAGTGTGGTCTTTGGCAGATTATTGCACGAGCCTGGGCTGCCCAGTTTCCGAAGAAGCTCCCGTGGCTCTTGCCACCCGCGGTTTGGAGAACCTCTGCTCTTGCAATGAGCCGCTAATTCCAATACCCGCTGAGTTTGCTGTGATTATTCAAGGCGATGCGTCGCCGGCAGAGTCTTCCTTTGACATGATTCTGATGGACTCAGCCCACAGCTGGTTCGACGACGTCGAGGTGTACGGGGAAGGAGGCAGAGAAAGCGACGAGGAGCACAAAGAATGGCCGGCTCGCCGGCAAGGCAAGATTCCGCGAGACCCTGAGCGCCATCTTCGACAGGGGAGCGCAAAACGGGCTTTTCCGCCGAAGCTGCCGCAGGATGTTGAACTGCAACGCCAGTTGGAGAACTGCGAAGTCCACAATGACGGATCTTGGAGCCAGAGGATTCGCAACCTGCTCCTGCAGGGCGCAAACCCGATTCACTGCACGACAACGTTCGAGAAGGCCGTGAGCACTTTTGCAAGCTGACTGTCATTGGTGCACTGCACAACCTACAGACCCAGAGACTCCAATAACCCTTAAATTAAGGAATATACTTTAAATTATAGTATTATCCCTAATAAGATTTAAGGTATATTCCTTAATCGGACTCAGACCCTAGAAAACCCAAGCCCGAGCAGGTTGGCAACGCGAAGGCCTCGCTGCGAGCTCAACTGGACGGCCTACGTGCCGGCCGACTCTGCCCGCACCAAGCGCACTTCTCGTACAGGCCTTGCTTCCGATATGTTTTTTTGCTAATGCTTTCCTCGATTGATTTCGCTGTGCCTAAGATTTGGAACAGCACATGCAGCACAGGTACGCGGACAACTTCGAAGCAATCAAGACGTCCGCGCAAGACTTCATGGATCACCTGGGAAGGCTTGATGAAGTCCTCGAACTCCTACCGGCTGTGGTCAAGGTTTGGGAAAGAGCTGTCCCGGCACCCGTCATGTGGTGTTCCAAGGACTGTTTACATGGCCGCGGCCGGGCTTACATGGCTCATGAGAACTTTCCGGAATCACGGGTCGATTCTCCAATTCAGCCGTATTTAGGGAGCATGCAGGGTTTTTCCAAAGACTGCCCAGGTGGGGTCCTACGTCCCGACGCTGCTTGCTTGCTTCAAGCTCTGCATGCCACTCCACGTGCACAGCTCTCAGATCAGACGGACATCCTGGCTTTGGCAGAGAGGATACGGAACATGCAGCAGAGCTGGAAGGCACGGGGCCTGAGAACTGTTACAGCAAAACCCCCGAAATGATAGTTACTGTGCTTACGAAGATTTGTTTAGTTGTTTTGGGATGCTTCCATGCAGGCACCACCTCCGCTTTCAAAGGAGCAGCGAAAACAAGAGAAGCGACAGCGACAGCGCCAGCGGAAGCGCGAGCGTGTGGCAACTCCCGCGGTTGCTGAAGAGCAGCTGCTTCTGAGGCTGTGGTCGTCCGAGTCCAAGAACGGCCCTGGTGCAAGATGCAACCTGTGTGGGGTACGAGGCGATCACTTATTATTCAGCAGGAAGCAAAGGAGCAAAGAACATCTCAAACGCTGTAAGCAGTGCATAGAGGCTCAAAAACTGGGTGTGGTTAAACACGCCAAGTATTTGGAAAGGCGTCGCTGGCTTTGATGAGAATTATGTTCATCCGGACAGTCGGGGGACAGAACGTCGGGAGCTGCTCGCCCTTTTTCTAGAAGACCTTGTGAGTCCGACGCGCGGGGGTAGCGCCAGGGTGCGCGCAGCGTTGGACTGCAAAAGATGGCTTCGCTGCACTGACTTTCACGAAGCCTTTGTTCCCCGAACAGCCCCCCTTCTGGTTTCACATCCCGCATCCGCAAAAATCTACAACAGAATGACTAAACTGCAGAAGATGATTAGAGTTTAGGTTTCATGCTTATGACTAGTCGGGCTTATGATGGTTTGGAAATTCCGAATTACTGTTACACGGCTCGGGTCAGTTCAGGTCTAGGCGTTTAGGCTCCTTTGCTCAGAGAGTCTTCTTTGAACTGCTCCAGTAGGTTTTGGGGTTGAGGAGTTTAGGGGGGTAGGGTTTAGGATTTGGGGGTTTAGGGATTTAGAGTTTAGGGTTTAGGGTTCACTGAATCAGCTGTCCTGGAGTGACGTTGCAAGCCAGTTGCAAAACAGGGTCAGTGAACCCGATTGGCTCCGAGTTGGACTTCTGGTCATATTATGTAATTTCACGGGGATCGAACATGTAAGTCAGAACCTACAACACAAACACCTTGATGAAGACCCTTATAGGACAGAAAGCACCTGACATTTGGGAAATGCGGCCCCCTCAGGGCAATTTTGAGTTCAACGGTCACCCAGCTGATGTATCCATCTGTTGTTGTGCCTTTTGGGGGCCTTACCATGGAATGATTGGTAGAAAGCTTCGGCCACAGCGGCCGGAAATTCGCAACACCCACAAGTAAACAAAACAGACCCACCATAGACCCCTTGAAACGAACCCTCAAAGTACCCTTCACAGGAACCATCCAAAATTCAATCGGGGTCTAGGCGCCTCCCAAGGAGTAGCAAGGGTAGAGAATCCTAAGCTCAAGGGTTTCTGTCTTCGGACGCCCAAGCCTCACGAATTTGCCCCGCCCCCGAAACACCAGAACAAGATTGACGACAACTCATCTCTTGATAAGAGCCAGTGCCAGGCACCCTTCTACTGGGGTGTCAAAGGTGCCTTGGTTGGGGGGTTGGATGTCCTTCAAGGTTTTGCGACATGGTCCTCGTGTAAGTCCCTATATCAGCGCAGAGCCTTCATGGTTTCCTTTGAAGGGGACCCTATGTCAAGATTAAGACATGTACTTCAGAGATTCCGCCGGAGCCAAAGTTTCGAGCTCATGGGCTTCGAGGGTTATTTAGTGGCCACCCCTTAGGAGTTCAGTGCTTCGGGGATCATCAAACCTGTGTATCCCTAAACCCTCTTCAGACAGTACGAGTTGTCGGCCTCCAGATAGAGACTTCTGAAGGCTTTTCATCCTCAACAGTTCTTGGCAGAGAGCGGGGCAACAAAGTCAGATGGAGGTAGATCAGCCTAGCTTTTCATCTGAGATGAAGGTGAGCTGTATCTGCCATGCAAGTTGCACATACAGTAATCAGCTGCTTTCCTTGTTCAGAAGCTTTGTAAGATGTTGGAGCTGTTGGTAGGCTTGTTGGGTGCGAGTGAAGGTCGGGAGCGCAATCTTCAGAGAGCTACCCATGGGAATGAGGGCTTTGAACATCTGTTACAAGCAGCTACTAGTATTCTGAGTATTACATTCTGGTCCTGGTGTAGTTGTACGACAATACACAGCAAACACGAATCTCATTGCAGCGCCCCTATCCGAAAGACCCCCTAGAACCCCATCAGCCTGCATGAAACAATTTAAAACTATGTTCGGATGAAGCCCATACATATATATGTATATACACGTACATATATATATATATATATATTTATCACCATGATCCCGCATGGGTCTCCCAAAGCCCTCTTTGCATTGATCCAAGCTGCAGGCGCTGACGATGGGGAGCGCCTGTGGGATGGAAAGAAGGACCCACGGCCGTTGCAGGGAACTTCCACAATTTAGGTCAGGCTTTCGGGTTCAAGGTGAAGCTCCTGAAATCCTGCAAGGCAGGCCATCTGAGACTAGATGCAGTCTCGGTTGGTGCTCGCCCTGGGAACTGCAACCTGAAACCCGAAACCCTAGGCCCTAAGTTCCGAAACCAGTACCAAAAGCCCGACAGGCCCAAGCAAATATGTACTGAACACTTATATATATATATATATATCTGTGTGTGTGTATATACATATATACATATATATATATATATATATAGATGTATATATAGGTGTATAGATGTATATGTATACCTATCTATCTACATACCTATCGATCTATCTATCTATCTATCTATCTATCTACCTATCTATCTATCTATCTACCCATCTACCTATCTACCTATCTATCTGTCTGTCTATCTGTCTATCCATATATATATACATATATGTTCACATGCGTTATAAATATACATTTATAATTCATAAATATATATATATATGTATATATATATACTTATATTTATATTTATACTTATATTTATATTTATTTTATATTTATATTTATATTTATATTTATATTTATATTTATATTTATATTTATATTTATATTTATATTTATATTTATTTATGTATATGTATGTATATGTATGTATATAGCGACGGTATCAAAAGGATCTTAACTCTTGGACCCGCAATCTTCGGAAAGCCCTGCGGCATCCGGTCCGGGCGAGGATCTTCTTCAGCAGATGCGGAAGCTGATGCGACCGCTTCCTCGCCCCTCGGAGATGAACAGAGGGTGGAAGAATTTAGCTATAGGACCTTAGGATGCGGTTTAGGGGTTTAGGAAGGGCGTCCCCGGTCCGCCTTGAGTGTTAGTATCATATGCCCCAGAACGCGATTCTTCGACGAGGTGACCTAGCACAGAGCCATGCCAATCTTTGACTGAATAACCCCCCGAAAGTTTTGCGCATGGAACATGCTCAGCTTCAGAATGCACGGAGATGGCGCAGGCCGATGCCTTTGCAAGAGTCTGACTTTCAGGATCTAGGGATATTGGGGCACGCCCACGACACCCTCATCTACCCCCTTGCAACAACCTCCGCAAGGCACCCCAAACCCCCTGAGCCTTAACAGCCTAAACACCCCTAATATAGCAGCCTAAATAATTACCAATATTCTTGTTTGGGTTCCTTATTATATTAATACTATCAAGGAGCCCAAAACCCTGTTCTAATACTATAAAGGAGCCCAAAACCCTATTCTAATCATGAAGGCCCCTACATTAAACGTCCAACCCTCTGCCCAGCTTCAACCTGGCTAGCTCACAGAAAGACGCCACAACAGCAAAGATTGAAGGTTTCATGCGTCAGACGCAGGCCGGCTTGTAGTTCTGGCTACGATCCGGGTAATTCTTTTGAAAGGTGAGATCTAAGTTTAGATTCGAGATGCAGGGCTTAGATTTTGAGGTTTGAGGTTCAGGGAGTGGTTTTCGATTTTTGGGCTTCGGATTGTGCTATGCCGTAAGAGTCTTAAGAGTCCTACAAAAGCCCGAAGCCCCTGCATCTTGTACGTCGAGCTCCAAATCGCATCTCGAACCTCAGCTCTTTCAATACGCCTTCAGTGTTCCATCACTGAAGGATGGAAGACCGCAGCTAAGAATCTCCTATTTTCACACCTAGAACAACGGAACGGCAGGGCAAACAGGTTTAGGGTCTAAACCCTAAACCCTAAACCCTAAACCCTAGGACTTTGCAGGCCTGGAGGTTTTTGCGGACAGTGCTGGACTGAAGTTGCATGTCGTGGGTTGCCCTGAACCGCTCTATACATAGAGAACATGATACCTAGACCCTAAATTGTTTAGGGTTTAGGGTTTAGGGCCCTGAGTCCTAAACCCTCAATACCCCAAAACCTAAACCCTCAATACCCCCTGAAGCCGACAGCTCCTAGACTTAGACCGGGACCCAAATCTCGGACAGCGCGTTTGATTTGGAGGCCATGCTGAATTAGGGTTCCTGCTGGTTCCCGATTAGAAGATACGGTGCTAGGTACCAGTCAGATGGATACCCCAAAGAACCTCTGGAAAATAACAGCCCCTGTAGCAAGATGGCAGAACCAGCCCGGTGCCTGTTGAGAACCTCGAAACCCTAAATCCGCCTTCCCACTAGGGGATTCCTTGCAACTTCATCAGAAAAACTAGGCTCCCCAGTACCCTTTTGCCTTTTTTTCTTTTTGGGGTTCCATGATCAAAACCAAATAGTAGTAGGGTTCCAGGGTTTGGGGGTTCAGAGGTTTAGGGTTTAGGGGTTTAGGGTTTTGGGGGCCCCCTGCCCCCAAGGGAATATAAGGCTACAAACGGGTCGAAGCAGAACCCCCGGCCCCCTGCAGGCAAATACCAATGAGGTTCTGGGAAGTGCCAGGCCTCAGAGACGCGCTTTGCGTTTCACGTTTAGGGCTTTCGGGGTTTCGTGGATTTGGCGTTTCAAGGTTTGGGGTCCCTTGTGCTTCAAAGCTGAGGGTTCGCACTTAGTCGTCCCAGTGTTGTGATGGTCCTAGCTTCTGAACTTTAGTAATACTCGTATAATTACTACCAGCATGGCTCCATGTGCTTTATCGGTTCACACATACTCTGCAGAGCATTGTAGAGAGTACTTAGCACAACTCGCACGACCAACTACCAACCATATACTTCAGCGCCCTTGTTTGTCGGCGCTGCAGCGTGCCCCGTAAGTGTCCCCTGGTCCCCGTCACCTCACCAGTACCTTGGGCCTCATCAATGTGACATTGCCATGGTTGTTTCTGAAGCTAGCAATTCGTGAGTAGTTGTCATACTAGTTGCATTAGCAGCAGTCGTCGCCGTAGGGGTGCTTGCCCTAGCAAGGGTTTAGCGCCTAGGGTTCAAGGTTCAGGGTTTAGGGTTTTAGGGTTTAGGGCCTAGGGGGTTTGGGGTTTTGGAGGCTAGGGTCCCTGCTCCTTAAGGCCCTTCTTTTCAGGATTATTTCGGGTTTACGACCCGAACACCACCTGAGGAAGCTTCAGTCTACACTGGATTTAGGGGAAGAACTTCTCGGAATAA